GAGAAATAGGCTCATTTTCTCTTAGGCTTTTAAACAATCTGACTTCAACCAGTGGAGTCGCACCCTGCTGGCCATTAGGAAGAATACAAGATGACACCTTGATGTCACGCGTGTGTTCAGATTTGACTGGGTTATTATGATTTTTGACACAAATTACGTTTATCCAGCGCCAAGATTTTTAAAGTTATGATAAACTTTAAACCACTGTGTAAAAAGTGCCAAACTAAATGAAATTCATTATCTAAGTTTTCCCTGCATCTCTTTATTGTACATTAAAATCCTTGACTTGACAAATATTTGCTGCATGTATTGCCTCAGTGGTGAGAGCCTGACCCATGCTGTTAGCTGTTTGTAATATTAATGATCTCATTGTGTTGCTGCGCTCATTACCAGTCTCTCTGGGTAAAAGCACCAAATAAACTCTTAAAACGCAGACATAAATGTAATGTATTTCTGGCTCTGTGAATGCCTTTGGTTCATTAAACTTGTGTGGGTAGCACTCAGTTTCCTCGGAGTGCCTAATATCATCAAGCATCTGGTTAAAAGCTTCTCAACAGTTGAATTAACCGCAGCAGGAAAGCCTCTGGAAATTGCAATCGTGGCAGGAAGCATTATCTTCTTATTAGCATTCAGGATGGCAACAGAAGGAATCATTAGGACAGTAAAATGGGAAGGGAAATGCTGCAGGGCAGGATTTGCCTCCCACCCATTGGGGTGTATTTGCAAGACAACGGCTCTCAGTCCAGAAAAAAGTTGCTTGTCAAACTGAATGGGAGCCAAAAACTGCAGGCTGTGGTTAAAGTAAGGAGTTCATACTTCAAAGAAGCTTTTCATGAGTGTTAAGTAGGTTCACGTCTTTTTATGTTGGGACTGTGTTTTGCTGACGATCTGAGGAAGCGGTCCCCAACTCCCCAACCTCAACAACAAGAGGTCACAAAACAAATCTGAGGGGTTTGTGAGATGATTAGAAAATTACTGGATAATTTTACACAACAAATGATTACAAAAAACAAACAAGGAAAAACAAAACACACTGGTTGTTTGTAAATGTAGCACTTGAAGCTGAAGTTGATGTATTTGCATGATTCTGGATAATTTTTGGGTTGTTTCCACATGGCTGAATGCACCTACAGTAGCTGCTTTAGAATGAAACATAATGGTTGATGTTGTCATAACTTATAAACAAGTGAACGGCAGACAAAAGGTCACAAGCAGGCATCGCTTTTGTTATGATATAGCTTAATAGGTCATGTCATGAATGTCTTGTGGGTGTGGTTTAGGCAGGTGGTAGGAGGCAGGATCAGCACTTACGTCACACTTGGGGGTTGGTGGAATGGACTGAACCTAGTGCCTAGAGCTGGACAGGCCTTTGGGCTGAACGGGAATGCCACGAGGAAGACACCGGAGGCAAGAAATTCTAAAGACAAAAGAGACTGAGAGAGTGTTTGAGACACCACTACGAATTATCCATGTAAAAACACATTCACTCTAAAGAACCACGAAGAAGAGCGAGCTGGTGGACTGGTCCGATGGAACAGCACCCAAGGGGCGTCCGATCCAAGCAAGTGCGATGGCCTGCCAGTGAGTCAAACACACCCCCCCCCCAGATCCCACTCTGAAGCCTAAAATTTGGTATTTTGGCTGTTGCCATCTTGTTTGTTGGAGGCAAACGTGACCATATTTGGATGAGAGGGTGGAGCTGTAGAGAAGCAAGGGGTTGAACTGACTGAGAAGTCGAGGACACCACTGTGGTAGCGACTTCTTACTCATAAGGTTGTCAGACGTTGACTTTTGCAATTCTCACAGGGCCCTGCAATTCAATTGGAAAAACTCTTCATCACAACATATATTGCTATGTAATCATGGTAATCAAAAGTGCTACATCGTAGGAAACTGGACTTGCTTGAGTTTCTTGAAGACGTCCCACCTTTCATCCAAGAAGCTTCTTCAATTCTAACTGACTAGTGCTGAGTCGCAGGCTTTAAACTCTGGGTGTGAACCCTTACAGAGTCCTTAAGGTCACCTGTGAGTCATTGCCCCCCTGCTCACCTGCTGTGTCATTAGGGTCAGATGGTCCAGGTGAGGATGGGTGTGAAGTCGTCTGGGGAGAGATCCCAAGACTGCATTGTAGATGGGTTGGGTGGTAAGTGGTGTCGTAGGGTACCTCCTGGAATTGATCCTGCGTCGCTCAGAGTGAAACGCAGGTTCTTTAGAATTCCCGTACCAGTTGAAGGACATTCTTCCGAAACTGATTGGTAGATTCTCAGTCATCCAGGTCATGGCAATAATAAGTGCAATATCGTAGGCAACTTGTTGGATTACTTTTCTGCAATGAATTCCATTATTATGCATTTTCACATTCATATAGTCCATTTTAAAACTTGCATTTAAATGAAAGCTAAATTAAATGTGCAATATGTCCATATTTGAAGCCAATAACACCAGTGGCATGCACAGACTTTTTGAAGGGCAGGGGCGAAAAGAAAAAAAAAGGGCACTTTAGCGTGTGTTCTGGCTCCCAAGAAGGCACTTTAGCTCACATTTTGGCTACCAAGAGGGCACTTTAGCTCACATTTTGGCTACCAAGAGGGCACTTTAGCGCGCGTTTTGGCTCCCAGGAGGGCACTTTAGTGCGCGTTTTGGCTCCCATGAAGGCACTTTAGTGCGCGTTTTGGCTCCCATGAAGGCACTTTAGCTCGCATTTTGGCTCCCATGAAGGCACTTTAGCTCGCATTTTGGCTCCCAGGAGGGCACTTTAGCGCGCGTTTTGGCTCCCATGAAGGCACTTTAGCGTGCATTTTGGCTCCCAAGAGGGCACTTTAGCGCGCATTTTGGCTCCAAAGAGGGCACTTTAGCGCGCGTTTTGGCTCCCATGAAGGCACTTTAGCTAGCATTTTGACTCCCAAGAGGGCACTTTAGCGCGCGTTCTGGCTCCCAAGAGGGCACTTTAGCGCGCATTTTGGCTCCCAAGAGGGCACTTTAGTGCGCATTGTGGCTCCCATGAGGCCACTTAAGCTTGCATTTTGGCTCCCAAGAGGGCACTTAAGCGTGTGTTCTGGCTCCCAAGAGGGCACTTAAGCTCGCATTTTGGCTCCCAAGAGGGCACTTTAGCGCGCATTGTGGCTCCCAAGAGGGCACTTTAGCACGCATTCTGGATCCCAAGAGGGCACTTTAGAGCGCATTTTGGCTCCCAAGAGGGAACTTAAACGTGCGTTCTGGCTCCCAAGAGGGCACTTTAGTGCGCATTGTAGCTCCCAAGAGGGCACTTAAGCGTGCGTTCTGGCTCCCAAGATGGCACTTAAGCTCGCATTTTGGCTCCCAAGAGGGCACTTTAGTGCGAATTGTGGCTCCCAAGAGGGCACTTAAGCGAGCGTTGTGGCTCCCAAGAGGGCACATTAGCGCGCATTCTGGATGCCAAGAGGGCACTTTAGAGCGCATTTTGGCTCCCAAGAGGGAACTTAAACGTGCGTTCTGGCTCCCAAGAGGGCACTTTAGTGTGCATTTTGGCTCCCAAGAGGGCACTTAAGCGCGCGTTTTGGCTCCCAAGAGGGCACTTTAGTGCGCATTGTGGCTCCCATGAGGGCACTTAAGCTTGCATTTTGGCTCCCAAGAGGGCAATTAAGCGTGGGTTCTGGCTCCCAAGAGGGCAATTAAGCTCGCATTTTGGCTCCCAAGAGGGCACTTTAGCGCACATTTTGGCTCCCAGGAGGGCACTTTAGCAAGTGTTTTTCAACAATTGGCTCCCCCCCTGTGCACACCACTGAATAAGACACTTTGAGAGGCAGATAAATAGAAGGAAGAAAGTTCGGTTTGGGACTGAAAGGATTAACAGTCATGCCAAGTATAAAACAAGTGTAGCTACTGTATACACTTTCTGCATAGACCTTAACAGATGGTTTTGAGCAACATGAGATATGAGATATATAGTATTTTTCCACATTTGATGCCAAATAATTCAACAGAACGCCTCAATATTTAGAAAGTCTTTTGTACTTTTTATTCAAGTTTTACCATTTATTTAGGGAAACTGTTAACATTTGTCTTCTCATAATGAAAATGTACATTTATCAATCTGCATAAAACATCACATATACAGTACATCAAAATAAATACATCATCTGGTGGGTTGATTGAGCTTCAGTCAGTTTAACTACAGCTACGCTATTCACATCGCAACCTCCATGTCTGCAACAACACATGTTTTTCGTGACTTTTCTGTCAGCGGCAGGTCCAGACCTGGAGACTCTGAGGCCAGTCTACGACAGTCATCCATCTAACTACGGGTGAGGAATAAGACATCAGTACTGCTCTGGCCCCAGAGTCATTTAAATACCACGTATCTACAGCTAAAGCCAGAGCTGGACCTGCTGGAGTACAAAAAGCCTTGAAGGTGACGGCAGGCAGGAGGGAGTCGGGGACAGGACACAGCTGACATCCTGTGTCAGACTAACTAGGAAAGAAAATAAGAGGAAGCCGCTAACCTGTACTTCCTTCCTGTTGGTATCAGTTTGTGGCAACAGATGGTGAATCATGATAAACAAAAACTAAATCCACCCCTCTATCTGAGACTTTTAAAGTTGTAATCCTTAAGATTTCAGTCCTGGTTGGTTATTACTGTAGTGAAAGCTAGTGTGGTTTTACAGTGTGTTCTGATCACCGATGTATTAACAGATCCAATATGGCGCCACCACTCAACATTACTGCTGATTTGTTCTGGTGGACACAACATTTTCCCCATAGACCTCCAACTGGCTGCTCTCAGACCTAGAGTCGTCTCCTTTGGTCTGAATCAGGGACTCATGTTCCAAAGTTGTATAATTGCCTAGAGTTGGTTTGTGTTCTCACGGCAGCATTTACAAGAGGACGAGATCAAATGCCTTGTGTGAGAAAGCTGCTCTTGATTGGTCAGAATTTCCATGTGGGAAAAATCCAGGAAGTAAAGCAAACGTTGAAGAAGAGTACACTTGCAAGATAAATGTGACACTTTCTAATGTCACAATGGAGGGACAACTACGCAGGTTGATTTTAGCGCTGCTCATCGTGGACTATATTGCTGTCATTGTTCATTATTACTCTTTCTATAATTGATTTTTACTATACCTGAAAAATGAGCATTTGTGTCAATTACTCATCGTGTGTTATGTTGAATTCGTAAAGAAACCTTTGTTTTTTCTCACACGCCTCTGCGATGAACGAAGAATCCAACAACGGTGAACATTCCTCATGAATTAAATGAAACGGTGGTTGTGAAATTGCATGTGTTTGGGAAGTACTGAGCATACGACTGGATAAACGAGACTTGGATTATACTGTACAAGTTGTGTGATAGTTTGCATACAGATGTTTTCATGGTCTTTGTCTTCAATTCATGAAGAATGTTCACCTTTTTTGGATTCTCCGTTCGTGGAGGCATGTGAGAAAAAGTTTTCCTCATGAATTCAACATAACACACTATGAGTAATCAATATACAAATGATCATAGTGCAGGTGAAGTATTCTTGTAATGCATGGAGGATTTATTTTTGTGAAACTTTCCTAGAGCCTAGAAAAGTGATTTTAAAGTGCATGATATCATCAAAATGTAAAGTCTATGGGCCAAGTGGGAACAAACACTAACGAGCATGTGGGAAGAAGCAAAACTGGAAGCTAGAATTTGTTTTTTGGCTGATGAACTGTTTTTAATTCAATTGAGTGGGTGCCATCTTTGAGTTCAGTATCTAGGTCATATAATAAATTCATAGTTTGCCTTAGGGGTACTCTGGAGTACTGCAGGGTGTATGTGAGGTTTAAGTGTTAAGGTTTAAGTGTTAATTAAAAAAATATCAGTCATGCATAATTCCTAAAATAATTATACTAATGTCAGTTCAATAAAAAAATGTATTAAATGTATTAAATATTCCTATTTTCAATGGAATCAATAACTGTCGCAAACTGTCAACTGCTGCAACAAAATACTACAACACTTAATGACAGATGAAAATAATCATTGTGTATTTTTGTGTTTGCTCCTTATTGTTCATGTGACTTTTTGGATTTGCACCCTTTCGACTTTGCATTTCAGCTGCTGCACAGCAGCTTCCTTTGGGATAAATAAAGTTTTATCTTAATTTGAATCCAGTGTAGGAATGGCGGACTCAGCCACAAGCAATAAAAACTACAATATAGAGAGAAGAAAAGAGTCTGACCTCACTGTATACTGTACTGTAGTATCAAAAGTGGAGTATAACGTCAGGAAAATCTTAAGGATTAAAACTTTAAATTCTCTTTCTGAGACATAATCCAGTTTTTTTTTGACAAAAATACTAAAAAGTGCCTCAATCCCCTAAATCCACATTCCTCGTACTGTGTCCTGTCCCCTCCTCCGTCCCCTTCTCCCCTCCTTAACTGCTATTATCCCCAACATCTCCTCTTTTCTCACCACGTCCAAAGTTCTTCGATGATCTTCGGGTCTTTTCCCCCTCCGTCCTCCATCTCTCACCATCTCCCGTCCACACTGATCCACACTGACTCCGCCTACCTCCATGTCTCCTCTCCTGTTTCCCATCACGTTCCCATCTTTAGATGCTGTCACGTTTAAAAGGAGGGGAGAACAGGATCAGTCACCGCGTCTCGTGGCAGAAGGGGCCGGACATCATCTATTTTGTATTTACATCGCCTCCTCCTGGGCGGAGAAGGAGGGAGGAGGGGATGAAGAGTTAGGACGGGGCGGGTCGGTCTCGGCTCAGAAACGTCTTCTCATATCGATACTTCATATTCACGAGTGTCCTGTTGACAATGAAAGAGAAGAGGGAGGCAATATTAGAAGTGTGTGAGTGTCCAGAACGACAGTGTCCCACCCACCGTTTACCTCAGGCTCACTTGGTTTATCTCACTGTTACACATTTGATCAATAACCATGGTCCTTATGAGCAAAGAGAGCGATCATGCTGACTTGTAGCTCCTTCTTGTGTGTAATCATAATGCAACATGTGAGCATCGAAATTAGGCTGTGTCCCATACTTAATGAGGGAAGACACAGTTATCATTATGATTATTTTCTAAATAATCCACATTCTTTTAGTTGACTCATGACCCATATTAAGTCAGAAAGATTACTTTAGTCCATCCATCATCCAGGGCCTGGTTGCGGGGGCAGCAGGCCAAGCAAAGCCCCCCAGACGTCCCTCTCCCCAGCAACACTTTCCAGGCCCTCCTGGAGGACCCCAAGGTGTTCCCAGACCAGACAAGATATGGAATCCCTCCAGCGTGTTCTGGGTCTGCCCCGGGGCCTCCTACCAGTAGGACGTGCCTGAAACACCTCTAACAGGAGGTGTCCAGGAGGATCCTGATCACATGCCCGCACCACCTCAACTGACCCCTTTCAACGTGAAGGAGCAGCGGCTCTACTCCGAGCTCCTTCCAGATGTCCGAGCTCCTCACCCTATCTCTAAGGCTGAGCCCAGACGCCCCACGGAGGAAACTCATTTCGGCTGCTTGTATCCACGATCTCATTCTTTCGGTCACTACCCAGAGCTCATGACCGTAGGTGAGGGTTGGGACGTAGGTGGACCAGTAAATCCAAAGCTTTGCCTCCTCTGAGAAAAGCCACCGTAACGTGGTGTAGGGATTTGCGTGCTGGAGGGTTAGGAGGAAACACTGCTGACCAAGTCGCATTGCAGCCCCTCTCTCTGTCTCTTTCTCTTGTTTGCTGTCCCTCTCTTCCTTGCCCTGTCTCTTCCTGCACCGGTTCTCCACTACATGTGGACTCCACTATGCTCTGTCACGGTCTCTCTCTCTCTGACACATCTGCCTCCTGTCAGTCTTGTTAGTCCTTCCCAGTTTCCAGTTTCCCTGCACACCTGCCTCGTTTTAGTCGTTTGCTCCACCCTGGTGTTCCCAACCACATTCCAGTGTCAGTCAATCCTTGTTTCCCTCCTTATACCTGTGCCCGCCGACTCAAGCCCTGTGTTGTTCTTGTGATTAGTGTTCTGTGTCTCTCTTTTTGTCCTTTGTCAGTTTGTCTGTATTCATACATCCCAAGCCTCTTATTTGTCATTTCCTCGCTCCCCGATCCTCACTTGACCCAGAAGTCGTTCTGATGTGCCGTCTTAAACGCCATCCGAAAGCTTTTATTTGTGCTCAGAGGAGCGAGGATCGAGGAGTGAGGAGGAGCGATGAGCGAGGACATACGAAATCAGCCTTCATGGGAGTCTTTTATCGTCCGTCACGCCTCTGTATCGGATTGTTTAACTGCTGCAGCGAATCAGACTGATCTGATACAACTCATCATACTGGAGTTCAATACGCGAGTGAAGACAGATAAGAGAAGAACTGAAGAGCATCACTCCCAAGTTTTATATTCCATATTTCCTCATTCACCATCTAGTTTAAAAAAATCAGCCCTGTAGGTCTGAACAACAAAAGACAACTTTCTTTATTTATCAGAAAGATTTTCCTTTTCACGATCTGTTGTTTCCCTCGTTAACATTAATTAAAATAGGAGAGCGTGTGTCTGTCAGCAAGAAACACTTTTTACTACATTTATTATTTCCAACCAGTCACACGCGAGGCTGATCATTTCTGAGCGTCGGGCTGATGAGATGCATAATTTCAATTCTCCCTGAAACATTTAGCCTAATAAATCATTTTCAGAGTTGAAAAGACATGATAATCATATTCTGGGTTATTAATTACTGAATTCATGATCAGGATATCAATAGAGACAAAGGCAAATAATGAACAAATCATATGAAGGCATTCTGCGTCACTTAACGGCACATGGTATAAACATATTATAAATACAGAACACACGTGTGCAGACACAAGCTCCATCAAAGTCTCTACAGCCTATAAAGCCGACTGTGATCCAGCTGTGATCAGAGGAAGACTGTGTTACTCATTGCCATGGAAACATTCAAGTGATTTTACAATCATTGTAACTGCTGTCATATTTTGTCTGCACATAATGACATATACACCAATCAGCCAAAACATTAAAACCCTCAGTGGGTGAAGTAAACAACATTGATCATCTTGTTACAGTGCGATGTTCTGCTGGGAGACCATTGGTCATGGCATTCATGTGGATGCTACTTGACACACTCAAACACCGCTGTGGGCTAGGTAACCCCCCTCACAGCAACGGTATGATGGCAGTGGCCCCGACAGCAGGAAAATGAGCCATGCTACACTGCAGAAACTGCTCAGGAATGACCTGAGGAATGTGACAAAAAGCTAAAGGCGTCTCCTGGTCACCAAATTCCCCAGATCCAAATCTGATCGAGCATCCATGGGATGTGCTGGTTCCTTAGAGGTACCCTTAATCTACGGCGGGGCCTCCCTGGATCAGACTTGTCTCTGACATGTCAAGGCATGGACACATGACCTCTGGAAGGTGTCCTGTGGTGTCCTGGCAGTTTTTGTGGTGTGGCATGGCTCATTTTTCTGCTGGGGGGCCACTGCCATCAGGGAGTACCATTGCCGTGAGCAGGGGTTACTTAGCCAACAACGGTGTTCGGGTGGGTGGAGCATGTCAAGTGGTATCCACATAAATGCCAGGACCAAAAGACCTACCACTGGTTTTAATATTTTGGCTGATCGGTGTAAATCCCACGTACAGGGTTGTTTTGTGAGTGAACAAAATACATTTCTGTATGACATGCAGACTGCAGATTATCACATACAGAGATGTTTTGTAAATAAGGACTGGGCTATGACTAAAGAAGTCAGGTAGGTCTATGAGTAACACCAGGAGATTTTTTTTTTGTTGTTTTTCTAACTTATATATTTGACATTACCCTGCGCAATCTACATGATGTTGTTGAATATCAGCCTCTTTTACACTGCCAAATTTTGGGCGAATGTTGGGCTGTTTTGCCGGCAAGCTGCAAGCGTTTAGACACACAGAGCCGGATTGGCGAGTTGATCCGAGGTGCCCAATTTGTAGGGTAGTCATATTCGCGGAACCCTTTTAGTTTAAACAGACCAAAGCGCCCTTCCACAATGGGAGGGGCTGTTGATGACGCCGCACGTGCGAGCCACTGGCGGTGGATAAACAGGAAACAGCTGATAGCAGGAATGAGCAAGAGGGAAACACAAACCTGACAGACACTGTAAAGATGAGCAACTGCGGAGACAACGAATTGCACGCCCTCCTTGTCCTCGCAAACAAAGAAGCCATTAACCGTCAGATGACGGGGACGGTGAATCGCCCTCTGACTAGCCGCTGCTTCCCTCCCACGTCACTGTTTACGTCACACGCTGAGCTACACGTGTTGTTACTTGCTCACGCCCCCCATTGCCCCGAAAAAGGCACATTCTGTATAAACAAAAGTAGGTAGGCGGCATTTTGCTGCACTCCCCGATTTTGTTTTTATGCTGCCAATGCTGAAAATTTCCTGCAAATTTGCACAGTTCCTGTTTAAAAAGGGCTACTGTTTCTGGCTACACGGTTCAAGCATTGTTTTAAACAGGCTACGGTAACTGTTTTACATACACATATGTTTAGTTTTTTTAGTCAGCTAAAGAAAAAACCACGTGATGTCTGTATTGCAATGAATTGAGGGTAATTAAATCAGTGAAGTCTGCTGAAGTCTGCAGCCCAAGCAGACTCTCTTGAAGTCTGCAGAAAGTCCGCTTGAGGCCCCTCGTGAACTGGATGAATTGTGGATTTGAAAAGCCCTCAGCAATCCCAGACTTCCCAGGAACGCACTCACAGAGTTTGCAAGTGTGGTGAAGTGCGGACATGTGGATTCAGCCATGGTGTCTTTCCCTGCATGTGTTGATCTCTGGTGTTTTCTCTTGGATTGCTTTCCTGTGTTCTTCGTGCAATCCTGGTTTGTTCTCAGTTTAGATATGGTTCATTTTTCTTTTGTACTTTGAGTTACGCCCGTCTGTTTTTGAGGAGTTTTACCAGCTGCATTAGAGCTCGCTTTTCGTTAAAACCATCTGGCTGCTGCTCTGCATTTGGGTCCTCATTTGAACTGAGACGTAAGACTGTGGAGCCTATATGTCTTTATAATCCATCATACTATATTAACATGAAAAATGCCCACATTTCCAAATAGTCCTGGTCATTTTGATAAAGACACTGAGCAATACATCCATATTTAAAGATAATGAGAGACTCTGACAGGCTAATAAATGTAAGTGGTACAAATTTAGGTGTTTAAAGAGTTAATGTGGTGAATACTAAGATAAATGATTACAGTGAGGGTGTGTGGATGGTTGGGCGCTCAGTGTACTGTTTCAGTTTTTAAACATAGTGGACACTCACCCCTCCGGTCTCATAGAGCGGGTTGTCAAACTCTGTTTCCACGGTGATCTGTCGGTAAGGATGGGGGTAGATCAGAGGGAGCCTTAAGTTGGAGTGATATCTGCACCTAAGGGACATGACGGTGGGAAAAAATGGAGATAATTCAAGGATCCAATTTGCAGAAAATATTCCAGAGAGGCATTTTCAATTACTCTATACATATTTATTTTATAAGATATATATAATTAAAGAAGTAAATCTCCAGCACCACTTGCAGTCAGAGGTTTTACCGTGTGACGTAGACATAAGCCCCTCCGAGCAGCACTGACAGCAGAAGAACCAGGATGAAGATGGCCAGCGCTACGTTCCCTCCATCCAGAGTGGAGCCTGCAGTCGCCTCTGCAACTGAGACGACACACCACAAATGAATCGAGGTTAATTGAAGGCATCAAGAGAACAAATAACACCTGTGAAAGTCTAGTCGAGGATGGGCGAGCAAACGTACGGGTAAACAAATGAGCACAAACAGGTGGAGGGACAAACACACACGGAGGGGATGGACTTGGCAGGCAGATGTTTGCTGATGCAGGCGGCACACACACAGAGGTGAAGTGCTTTTTATTCTTTGGTTTGTTTGAAGGGTTTTTGTTTTGTGTCGGTCTAAAAAAACCACAGACTGTGTGGTCTTTTCAGCCCACAGTGTCAGAGCACATCAACACACACAGGTAACACTCACCTTCCAAAGCATGGTTGCCAAAGCAGTCATGGTTGGCTGCAAGACATCATTCTGTCAGTCAGTGCATAATGAAAATCGACATCACACTTCCTGTGGAGTTTGTATTTGTATCAAGGCTGCTCTGAAATGACCGTTCACTAATCCCCATTCTGTCTGTACTGTTACTGCACCTGTCAGGACCTGTCAGGGTTATTATTATATTCAGTTTAATTTAAGAAAATACAGAAATAACAGATTAAAATATTTAAACATTCTACGTATAATAAAATATTTGGATATGTGGTGTGGCACTAAGATTTATTTACATTTCAAATATATTTACCTTATATGTTTCGATATTTTTCATAATTTCTATTGTTATTTTTTAATTTTATGTGTATGATTCTTGATTTTTGCAGAATTTGATTTTTATTTTCTCTTACTGTGTTTTTTTTTTGTACTTGAATACAAGTTGTAACACCACATTGTCTCTTGCATATGGAAACTCATTTCGCCAGTGTAATAAGAAAACAAAAACAAACTAGAGCACTCGCAGAGCGCAGACCCCGCAGCTCGGATTTCCCGCCATTTTATCATCTGTTCCTTGTCCCATTATCAACCTTTCCTGAATTTCATCAAAATTCGTTCAGAACTTTTCGAGTTATTTTGCAGACAAACAGACAAACAGACCAACGCCAGCGAAAACATAACCTCCTTGGCAGAGGTAAAAACAAAACAGCAAAATATTTTAGGTAATTCTACTGAGAAATTTTCTTGAGATAATGACAGACAATACTATCATTATCATTATTTTGAGAAAGGTTTCTCATTAATCAGTATCAGAAATAATTTATAGATCCCTGAGGGGAAACTGTGATTCTTTACAGTCGCTCAGATGTAAAGAATGAGGAATTATAAGAAGTAAGAAAAAGAGTATGAAATAGAAGTATGAAAATATAAGCAATAAAATAAAATAAAGTAAAATAAAACAAAACTGTGCGTTAAAGAAATAAAAATAAAGTATGCACGATGCTACAGTGTTTAACACCTAGTACTTAAGATATATAAAAAAAAAGAAAATAAAATATATATTGTCACAGTGCTGAGGCTGTATTAAGTGTAAAATTTAACTACAATATAAACATCAATAGGATAAATTAAGAACAGAATAAGAGTAAACATAAGAAATATGTACAGTTACATGCATGATAAAGTTGTATACTGAAAAATATTTCAGTTTTAGTAATGAGTGGATCTTCAAGTGTTTATATGTATTAAATTCGACCGGGTTATGTGGACATCATATAATCTAATGCTCACTTGGCGGAGCGTTGTTCCTGTGGGCTCCAGCAACACTAAACCCCTGAGCTTGCCTGAGAAGAACTAAATGCACAAACTTTTTATCTTTAAATATCCCATGGAGAGAGACTCTCACTGCAGCCTGTTCTATTTTGCTCTGAAAATGTCGACGTGCAGCCTCATTCTGTGGACGATAAATGAGGTGCAGACTTCCATCTGTGTCACCGCTGATGAGGAAATACACTAGCCCTTTTTAGATAGGAGTTGTGCAAATCTGCAGGAAAGCCCAATCAGTCTTTTTTCAGCATTGGCAGTATAAAAACAAAATCGGGGAGTGCAGCAAAATGCCGCCTACCTACTTTTGTTTATACAGAATGTGCCTTTTTCGGGGCAATGGGGGGCGTGAGCAAGTAACAACACGTGTAGCTCAGCATGTGACGTAAACAGTGACGTGGGAGGGAAGTCAGACGGCGATTCTCTCATAAGTCGGCCCGTTCTTCACCGTCCCCGTCATCTGACAGTTAATGGCCTCTTCGTTTGCGAGGACAAGGAGGGCGCACAATTCCTTGTCTCCCCAGTTGCTCATCTTTACAGTGTCTGTCAGGTTTGTGTTTCCCTCTTGCTACTAGCTGCTCGCTAATTCCTGCTATCAGCTGTTTCCTGTTTACCCACGCTAGTGGCTCGCACGTGCGGCGTCATCAACAGCTCCTCCCGTGGTGGAAAGCCGCCTCGTTCTGTTTAAACCAAAAAGGTTCCGCCAATATGTCTACCCTACGAGGCGAAAAACTGGGCACCTCGGATCAACTCGCCAACCCGGCTCTGTGTGTCTAAACGCTCACAGCTTGCCGGCAAGAAACGTCTCGGAACTCAATCCAGGCTGCGATTATGTTGCAACTAAAATGTAATTGTAAAGCAGTTTTGTAACATGCGAAAGTAATTTCTAGGAGACAACAATATACGTGTAAATGTGCAAATTACTAAACTAAACTGATCAGACAATCGCTCTTTGGGTAAGGGGGTTAGCAAACAATCATTAGCATGCACAGGGGCATGATCAATCTGTATCACCAAGCATGGGGCAAAAAAGTCTTTGAAGAGTATTGTTTTCATGCATAAATCCAAATGTATCCAGAAGAAGGGCAGTTCATTCCACATGTATGTTATAATAAATTGTGCAAAAGTCTCACCCCTGCAGAGTGGAAGTGGGCCACTCCAAAAGGACGGGTTGCCCAGGATGCATTTAATGGCAACCTCTCCAATGAGCTCGTAACCTTCGTAACAAACGAAGGTGAGCGACTCCCCTGGCAGGTAGAGCCTCTTGGACAGGATCTGGTAGCCATTGTCAGGGAGCCCAGGGTTCTCACAGGAAACAGAATCCTCAGCTAGATACAGAAGAAGAAGAAGGAGAAAAAAACAGAGCTGGATGGATCTTGTTGAGTTTCTCAACACGAATCAGAGGTTTTTGCGTCAGAGCTCGACTGACAGATTTGACAGGCTCTGGCTGAGGTGACATGACTCATGGATAATCTCCACCCCCTCCTCCAGGTGGCTGAGGGCTGATTGGTACGGTGCATTAGCATTGCATTTACATATCAAACACTTCACACAAACATTAATATCCCTGAAAACACACACACATGCTCACACACACGCACGTCTTCAGTGCAGAGATGAAAATGCAGGAGATGAAGCATCGTCTCTGGCATGTGGAGACGCTGTGATCTGTGTCAGCAGAGGAAAGAAAGAGAGCCAGGCAAGAAATCACACAAACCCACTCATGTTAGATCGCACAGCCACGGGGAGAGAGCCTCTCATCTTCAGTTATCTGCCATGTGCAACTGTCTATCCTGATGAAAGCTTTCCCAAATCACAGCACTGACAAATTAACCAAATAAACCTCGGGATCCTTTCAGCCCACAACTTTTTCCCCGGAGGTAAAAGCAGCTGTGTTTTGTCCCTTTCTTTTAGGGCTGTCTTTCTGATACTCACAAACACAATGAGGGAGCCGAGACGTCCACACAGGGGTCCCTGGCTCACGGCCGTAGCAGGTTATGGTGGCGCCGCCCTGCAGGATGAAGCCGGGGTTGCAGCTGTACTGAATGGTCGTCCCCACCAAGAGTTTCGGGTCGGACAGAGACCTGGTGGAGTGCTCCACGTGGCCAGGATCTGAGCAGTACATGACTGAGAGAAAGAGGAATATATGATGAAAACAGACACATGAAGACACTCGTACCTTCAGTACTTAAAGGTACAGTCATAGATGTTAATACTAACTAGATATCAGACCCCAAGATGGCGCCTTATGTGCATTATATTCACAATATGCGAGACTGACCACATCACTGAGAGACTACAGCTGGTTTATTGGAGGTTCCTTGCAACAGGAAGTAGATGGTGGATGCAGCCTTTGTCAATGACGCCCCAAAGATATGGAACACACGATATCAGTGAAGCTAGCTCGCTAAATATTTTTATAAGAAAGCTAAAAACGTATCTGTTCACTTTAGACTTTAACTAGCTCTGACGTCCTGATACAGGTCTGAAACTCTTTGTTTTTACGCTTCACGCTGCTGCACTGAATATTGCCCTTATTGTAAAGCACTTTGTGCTGCATTTCTTGTATGAAAAGGTGCTATATGAAAAACATTTATTATTATTATTACTGTTTTTCCCGCTGGCCCTGTCTGCGGGTTGCAACTTGGCTCATAGACTTTACGTTTTAAATTGTTTTTCTCAGCATGAGGAAACTTTTACAAATATCAAACCCCCATGGTTAAAAAAAACATAATAGGAGGAGTCATAATTGTCCTTGTTTGCAGTTAAAGGTGTCCTGCCAACAATTTGTACAGACGCCTCTTGGAAAAAAATGGCTCCAAGGCTTAGCAGCGTTCCAGGGGGCCAAGGTCCAATGTGTAGGATTTAGAAGGATATATCGAAAGATAAGGAATATGCTATAATAGCTACGTTTTCTTTAGTGTATAATCAAGTGAAAATAACAATTGTTGTGTTTTCGTTACCTTAGAATGAGCCATTTATATCTGCATAGGGAGAAGGGGCCCTTTGCACAAAACACCTTATGTTTTTCCTTAAAGTCCCTGTTAAGGCTTTCTTAAAATAAAATCAGTTGCACAAACCACCTCTTTTCCTTCAGGTTAACTTAAAATGTTCACTTAAGTATTCAAGGTTGTCTCCTTATCCTCATCTTATACTCAAGGAACAGCTTAAAGTTTGTTAAAGGGATAGTGCACCCAAAAATGATCATTATCTACTCACCCATATGCCGATGGAGTTTTAGAGTCCTCACAACACTTGCAGAGATCCAAGGGGAGAGGGGGTAGCAACACAACTTCACCTAATGGAGGCTGACGGCGCCCCAGATTCAAACGTCCAAAAACACATAATTGAAACCACAAAATATCTCCATACTGCTCGTCTGTATTGATCCAGGTGTCTCGCACAAGCGCACACATGAGTGCGGTGCCCAGAGAGGCAGTCAGAGCTACAGGCTACAATGAAGCTAAAAACAGAGTTCAAATGATGTTTTTCCAAACAACTTTTTATGTCGGGGCTTCAGGACACTTGGATCACTACGGACGAGCAGTATGGAGATATTTTGTGGTTTCAATTATGTGTTTTTGGACGTTTGAATCTGGGGCGCCATCAGCCTCCATTAGGTGGAGTTGTGTTGCTACCCCCTCTCCCCTTGGATCTCCGCAAGTGTTGTGAGGACTCTAAAACTTCACCTGAGACTCCATCGGCATATGGGTGAGTAGATAATGGCTGAACTTTCATTTTTGGGTGCACTTTCCCTTTAAACCATTGCACATAAGACTTTAGGCATCACAAGCCTGAGCACAAGCAAACAAATGGTTACCACGGTAACTGTAGTATTTTACCACTGCAAAATCCCTGTCAATGCAGTAAATGCCTTAACATTTTACTTAACTAAGAAACAATCTAAGGGATTCTGTGCAACACCCTTAAGTCCCTCAGCTTAGGAAAAAATAAGTCTTAAGTGGCATACCTAAGGAGAAAACTGAATCGATAAGGCATATTGATTAAAGTAGTAGTATTGATAAAATCTTAAAGATACCCGTCACTAGTCTTAAATGTGCTACATAACAAACTTGCATTGCCTTAAAGGTTTCATGTACTGAAGAGAGGACTTCAGGGGAAGACAAGATGCCTACGTTAACCCCAGTTGTCAAGAGGTTGGATAAATTGTTGGACTTGACTGTGGCACTTGACGAACGTTTAGCAGGTCTCCAAAATAAGTAGGAACTATCATGTGGTGATCATGTAAACTGGTACTTAGGTGAAGATCACTTAAAAAGAGTCCTGTCAGGAATAACAGATACATGCGCACACAGAAATTAATAAATAAATAAAAGTGGAACTGACTCTTTTCACAGAACGGCGGCTGTGAGCTCCAGGAGAGGTCTAACTGACAGGTGAGGGTCTCCCGTCCCACCAGATCGTAGCCAGGGTCGCACTGGTAGGTGATTCGAGCCCCTCGTACCAGCGCAATGTGGGATGTGGTCTTCCAGCCGTTCTGGATCTCAGGCAGGTCTGGACAGGAGTCGTTTCGAGACACCTCTGTAAAAAGAAATAATGACAATTGAAAAAAAAAAAAGGTTGATTAATTGAGCGGTTATGGTTTTGCCATTGATCGTGGTTCAGGTTCTGCTACAGTGAAGCGTTTCCTTCTTCACAGCAGCGACAAGGGTCGAGAAGAAAACAAGATAAACAAGAAGACGTCTGAGTTAGACGTGATCCTGGCACACGCTCTCTGTGAGACTGATGGACTTATTGTGTGATTACTTGACCGTGTGACAGAATGATGGATTTCATCTGTGTTGGACAGTCTTCAAATGTCGTCTCTCCAGCAGAGTCTCCGCTCTGACGAGGACAGTTTGTCTCTGAAGCTGCAGCTTGGAGTCGGTTTGAAATCAGACTCCCACTAAAACTGTCCTCAATAAAGTGATCACAAGCTGTCAGTTATCTGTCACAGCTGTGTTGATCTGCCGCAGAACAAAATGTTTTTTGCTCTTCTGTGCTGTCAGAGAGATTTTCCTCATCATAACAAAATTATACTAACTCAAGGTCCACTTACTGGCTTTCAACTCCGTCTCACAGCATTCATCAGGAGACTGAAATGACTCACCTGACGACCTCATGGCATTAACTGACAAACTTTGATCATGTGACAATGCCTGAGCAAACTGCACTGACGAAGACCATGAGATGCAGTTGAAAGCCTCCATTTAAGATGACACACTTCTCTTCTCAAGGGCAAGAATGAACTTTCACACCCAAGTTTTTGCTTTTATTTTCTACAGTTTTTATTGTCTAATCTATTTTATTTTAATTATGACTCAAAACACAGAGAAGAAACACTGCTAGGGTTGCAGTTAGCCATGAATATTCAAGGTGAAAACTTTCCATGGGAATTAACCACAGACTGTAACCACTGTGATGTCACACATTGGTTTGTGAGCCCCTGTTTTAAAGCTTTGAATTTGGCCTGTAAGTCACTGCCACCTCGGATTTTTGAAGCCAGAAGTGACCATATTTGGACGAGGGGGTAGAGATAAGCCGCTAGCTGAGTTAGCATTGTGTATTAACAACTATGGTTAATTGTGATAATGTTAATGCTATTTTTTGCTGGCTGAAAACAGGCTTAAAATCATAAAAACAAAATGTACTTTCTGGAAAAACTGAATATCTGAGTCCTTAGTACAACCAAATGCTGAACAAGACTTATTTTAGTCAAATGAGTGGCTTTAAGCCTTAATGAAATGTAAACAGGTGAGCTGTATAAAAATTCACCCCTGCACAGTTATCATGGATGTTAAAATTAACTATAGAGAACAAATCTGTTTTTGCACCAGGCTGTAAACATGTTAATTTCTGCTGTGAAGTTAAGCATTTTAACATGGAGGTCTATGGGGTTTGACTCACTCTTGGGGCCAGCCTCAAGTGGCCATTAGAGGAACTGCAGTTTTTGGCACTTCAGTTGTAGCTTCGTTCTTCAGGCTCAGAGGATGCAACTTTGGATTAACAGGAAATAATGTGAATAAAATGGAAATAGAGGTTACTTGCCGATGCCGCATTTACCATAGTAGAAACATACAAACAAAATGGTAGTGTTTAGCATTGTCGCCTCACAGCAGGAAGGTTCCTGGTTTGAACCCAGGTTAATGATTGTCTGTCTCTATGTGTCAGCCCTGTGATAGTCTGGTGACCTGTCCAAGGTGAACCCTGCCTCTCTCCCAATGTCAGCTGGGATAGGCTCCAGCCCCCTTTTGACCCCTAGTCTCGCCACCAGACAATCAGAGATCTCCGCCTTCTGATAGTCTGGGGACACTCCTTTCTAAAGTGTGTTTGACACACCGGAGAAAACGGCCGGCAACAAAGCAACACCTCTTGTATTTTTTAAAAGGACACGCCCTCCCGGAAATGCGCGCTCCCCTTTTTCTCGTCCGCAAGGAAACAAACACACAGAGAGCTTGAAAATGGATGCCGAGAGATTTAACTCCGTTTTATCAAACGTGTGCTCAGTCCACAAGATTGTGGAAATGAAGGACTTACAGCGACTTTGTTTAAAACTTTTAACGCAGTCGGACTATGTTTACGAGCACAAGAGTTCAGCGAGCCACCAAAGGACAGCCCTGCAGATTTACTATTGGTTCTGCAACGTAGGGAGTTTTTTAAACTCTGAAATTGTATCCGCCCATCTAAACACAAAATCAGGGAGAAAGACGCTTTGCTTAACTAAAGACTAACTTGTGACTCTATTCGACCCCTAACACAATAAGCAGTTACAGAAAATGAATGAATGAACCATTTTCACTCAGCTGAACTTTAATTAGATGAGCTGACTCACTGTATTGGACTTTTGTTGAACAAGAGCAACAACAAAAACAAAAAACTTTCTTATGACCCCCCCCCCCTTTCAAAATGAAAGACTTCTCTTCAAAAATGAATTCTCCTCTCAGGCATTCATATCCTCTCCAAGTCAGTGTCTGATTTTGTGTGCATTTTTCCCCAAAAAGTTCAAGTCCTCAAATTCAAGTTAACATGGAAGCCAGTGAAAAACTTCCGGTGGTTACGTCTTCTTTAAATCTCTTATTCAGTGTCTCTCTTGAACTTGATACTGACTAAACTTTGAGTGATGTTTGAGAGCTGCTTGGAAAGAGACAGACGATATTTTTAGGTGGCGTGTCATTGTATCACGCCCCACAAGGGGGTTCAATTAGTGCACCCACCCAGGTGTGGTATTTCCATCACTGCCGATTGAAGACTGTTGGAGCTGGAGACAATAGATACCCATAACTGCTGCAGAGTCATTTGTCCTGGAAACGAAAGTCAGTTATAAACTTTCCCACTACATACAAAAGCCGGATGTTAGCAGTGGTTAGGGGGTTATTTGTACAGCGAGAAAGGGACTCTAGTGGGTGTAAGGGGCTTTATCTCCAGTGGGGAAGGGGCTCTAGAGACCAGCTTGGAACATAGTGGAGCAAATAGCAGCTAAAGACACAGATATTTCCATCAGGAGTTGGTGGAGATCAAAAACAGAGCTAAAAGAGAGACACATTCATTAGGTGACACAAACACAAAGACTAATGAATCATCATGATGCTCTGTAACTGCTGCGTATGGAAATAGGTAGCAGTCTGCTAACAAGCAACGCCTCTTGCACTACACGGACTCATTAGACCCAAAAAATATAAATTAGTGCAGCTTTAAAGAGGCTGTTTCACTCAGTAAAGCAGATGCTCTCAGTTTTTGTGTGTTCATTGGCAGAAGCCTTTTAGTTTTACTAAATGAAAAAACACAGAGGCTGAATGTTTTTCCCCAATTCATCTGTATCTGTGAAGATCTCACACAGCAGCATGTAGTGATTACACAGACAGCGAAAGCAGCAAGAGGCTCCGACCAACAGGCTCTTGATCGTTCTGAAGATCTTTTTCAATCAAGAATTCTTCTGATCGTCTGATTAAAACTTTCTTGACATGTTTGTCTCTGGGATCTTAAAATCAATGGAGCTGTAGATTTTAGATCTCCCGGTCAAACTTTATAAAACCCACAGAACCCATAAGATTACAGCAAATTTCCCTTCGGATCGATCAAAGAGAAAAAGTTTTAATTTCTACAAAATGGCCACAAAATCTGAGAACCAAATGACTGGATGCTGATTTTCCACATCAAAGTGTGTTTGCAGGTGTTGGGGAGTTCTGCTGCATGTTTTAAAAGTTGTACAAAGCCTTCAGTTTCTCCAGAAGGAGCTGTTTGACGTCTGATAAATGTCCTCGAGTGATGTTTCTTGAGTCAGAAAGAAGAAACCATAAACAAGTTAGAAACAAAAAAATCTCTGCTGCAGGCTCGAGGCTCCAAGATACATTACAGCCACTTCACCATGTTGCAGTGTCACAATCACAACAATCAATGCACATCAACCAATCCTTGTCAATTCTGCATGACTTCCCAACTTCGTCCAATCACCACAACTTTTCCACATATTTGACCAATCATCATAGTTCCCCATGAGTTTCACCAATCACAGCGGTCCCTCACACAACATCACCAAACTAACTTCCTTGTTCCTGATTGTGAAGACGCAGACATGTACAACATGCACGTCTCACATTTACCAACAAAAATAACTGTGACTAACAAATACTTTTCTACGGCGAAACACACCTGGGGAATCGATAAAAAAAGTTGACAACAGAGAAGACAGATCCCCGTGAAAGAGGCTGTTGCATCCACACCTGTTGCTGAAAGAATCAAGGTGAATTAGAATAAATATTCATGGTTAGTGGTCTCGAAGTGGTCTGAGTTCGGTTTGCTTCAAGTCTGCGGTGCAGTTCACATAACCTGTAGCCTGGAAATTCAGACCCAAATCTAGAAAGATTTAGGGTCTGGCTATGAGTAATGCAAATGGCCCAACTCGAGGGGCAATACATACAATCAGAACAATACACGGGGTGACGTATCCAGAGCTTAGCTACCAGCGGAGTTAACTGGTAGATTAGACTCTTGCCGTATCCGGTCGGCAAAACAGCAAAAACGTCCTTCTTGCAAAGGAAAGATTCGAGAGCCGTCTTCTGTTCCTCTTTTAGAGAAAAAGCCAAGTCTAACTCGTTCATTGTAGCGGTCAAAGCCATTTCAAACAACTGGTGTTCATCCGTAGCCATCTTGCAATGTTTACTGACTGATTCTGGTCTTCGTCGTCAGCGCTGTCGTCATCTGTTTAGCTCGCCTCTGGCCCGCCTATATCAGATACACCGATGTGATTGGTGCAACTCAGCTCCAACGGCATGGGTAATGAGCATCATTACTGATTGCCAGAGTGACTCGCTGAGCAAATTCAAATTGTGCTCTTGCGAGAACTCTGGATTTCCAGGATACATCACCTGTACCTTGTGAACAAAATGCTCTCCGAGTTTGATTTGCTCTTTGCCACCATATTTATCCCTCTAGATCACATGCTGTTGCACTGGGATGCTTGAAACATCAGATGAAACCATGTCAGCCTGTAATGCTTGTAAGGATGCGGATGAGGAATAGTTTGGTCCGCGGAAGATACTGCA